TATTTCATACAGTTTTTTTTAGTTCGATATAAAGTGTTTGTTTGTAGCAGATGGTTCAAAACACTTTTAAAACCGTTTTACAGTCCGCAAGACCGTTGCATACAAGCTACTGCAGTGCCAAGACGGCATTGTTTTGTCTGCAAAACAATTGCATTCAATGACATGCAGTTGCAAGACGGTCCTGTTTGCGCGATTCAAACGAGCAAGGTTAGCCAACCTAAACGAACACACTGTCACATTCCTAACCAAAAATTTTGGTTTCAGTTGTTTGCCATTGGACCGGCATAAAGTCATTTGCATGTATTGGCAACTTGTAAGTTGCTAACTATTCCAGCAGAATTTCAGATAAACTTGCATAAAAAATCTAACCGATAGATTTTCATGCAGGACTCCAGCGGTTGCATGAGAATAAAAAAATCAGCAGTTTTTTTAGTGCGCATGCGTCTGATCAACATTTCTCTTGCTCTGGCTGACGGTAAAACGAGTATTAGGTTAACAAAGATAACAACAAAAGTATTACCATTTGATTTCAATATGCCAGGATGACTACATCTCTATATTATGAGATATTTGAAAGCGGTTGAGAAATGTGTTATGTCCCCTCATGTAACTCCCAATGTTGACTACGAATCCCTGATAGTTATTTCGAATCAATACTGTACTATAATGAACGTTGTAAAACAGTCTATGTGAGTAGCAACAGAGTTTCACAACCTGTTATTAGCAAATAGTAAACTTATATGTTGTATGTATGCAATCCTTGCCGTTTTCGTAACGTTTAATCACCAGTATAGAATTGCAGAAACTATACATATTTTAGTGAAAATAAGGCTACAAACCTTGTTCTACCTCTATCATCGTCACGATGGTCCGATGATTTGATCTGTTTGATCTTGAACTGTCGCATAGCAGTTCGGGCTTTATGATGAACGAAAATTCGAACCACTGTTTATTTTTTTTATACCAAAGCAGCCTGAGGTAGAACTGGAAACATCCTCGTGACTAAGGAGCGGTCGTGTCAGCCAGTACTCAATGTATGAAGTTCAAAATGGTTAGGATGGGGGGCCGAAGTCGAGCGGGTTTGTCTGGCAGGCACATCGCGTGGTGGCATCATCGGGGAGAGCTCTGAGGAGCAAAGCTTAGCGGTAGAAGAGAGTTAGACCGCCGGCGGCCCGTCGGTGGCAATGGATCCTGAGACTGTCCGTTAGAAAAGAGTCATCGATCAGTCGGACAGCCCTCCTCTGAAAAGCATCCTAAATACGAGGAGTAATACCCGAGGCTAGGTCTTATCTGGACCTTGTACAGAGTGAGGAGGTTATATGGAAAAGTACTACTAAACAAATAGCCTAGCTTTTTCCCAGCAGCTGCCGCTATTGACAAGAATTTTGGTGCCAGTTCAAGTCCTCGGTGATTCGTACTCCGACTAGCCGAAATTAGCGGCTCTTTGTTAGAACTCAGCCACCTATCGATTATACAGAATATAGAAGTTGGGCAAACTGTAAGCTCCAAACAGATATAAAGAATTAAACATAGAAAAAATAAAGAGAATGTTAAAAACCAACAATAGTATCTGTCGCAACGATTCTTGAACCCTTTAAATGTGGACCCATTAACATCTTCGTAGGGCAACCTGTTCTAAGTATCGAATACTCGGTTAGAGAGGAAAATTTGACAATGTATAGTTCCGAACTTTTCTTTCATCAGGATAAAGTTGTGGCCTCTCAGATGGTTGGCGTTCAGACGTAAAAGTGTGAGAATATGTCAGTGCCACAGAAACCATTCAAAACTCTGTATGTGATTATCAAGTGCCCTCGTGAGCGTCTATCGGAGAAGTGGGTCAAGCTGAATAGGTTCAGCCTCTCCTCATTATTAGGTTGTTGGATTTTGTTATTCATTTAAAATATATGAAAAGTAGCTAAATGTATGTTTTAAAAGCATGCGACGTTTACTTTGTAATGCCAAGCAATAATCGTTTTACATTTTTATAAATTATAGTGGAACATTATTATTACAAAATCTATTTTGAAAATTGAGTGCCAAAACCAGACCTCCAGTAAAAATTGCCAATCATCAATTAAGATTATATTTTCAAGCAAGCTCAAAGAATATATTTGGAATAGATGTTTTTAACTCCTTAGGGACAAATCTCGCAGACATACACATCTTCATCTGTTCGCTACGTTCTTCGACCCCCATCTTCTTATTCCGAAATATTTCAATAATCCTAGCAATTATATAAGGGTTCCATTTGTTCTCATTCGTCTTTCTGATTATTATTTTCGAACTTAGAAAGGGGCCTCAAATAAACAGTAGAGCTCCGCCGAACAAAAATAGAGGGCCTTTCAACTATTTAGGGTTGGTTCTCGCAGTAACGTAGTAGAACAACTAAGAGAAAAATGGCGTCAAGTAGATTAACTATATACTTCCCATGCCTTCAAGACACATGTAAGACAGACCGACGGAAATGAGTGAAATGGTATTTCGTGACGAACATGTCATATAACATCCAACACATGTAATATCTTATTTTCGAAATTCTTCGCGATTACATTAGGAAGTAAAAAGGGCGTGCTCCTCTAACCTTTTGGGGAACTGTGTCCCTAAGCTACGATAAAAGTGTCGCTTCCCAAGTCATTCTCGGTGGAAAAAGAGCGGGAGTCTCGCCGCCCTACTGTCTCATTTCTAAAGTTGCCGAAAAAGGATACTTTCACAATACTCAACAGCTCTGAGAATTTGGGATCGTTGCTCAGGGAATATTATATTCAACTCCGCTCCAATCTTGGTTGGAATCCTCAAAATGAATAAATATCTTGCCCCCTATTAAGAGACCAAGCAGATTCAAAACGAGCTCATATATGGTATTTCACTTGGTCTGTAAAGAGGTAATCATAAGTAATGTATGGTTTTAAGATTTACTAGTTTATTTTTGGGACACCTTGTAAAAATCGAAAGTATGATTTTGTGAACTAGATCCTTCAGTGGAGCGAGAAGTATACGTTATATTTGAATATATTTAACGTTTAATTTACATAATGTTTGTAATAAAATGGTACCATCGACTCCAATCTATGGAAAATTAGGCACTATACTGTATTCAGATCGAGTGAAAATTTGCATACGTATCTGCAAAATCGACTACTTCAGAGTGAAAGGAAATGAAAGTTATAATTGCATCATTCGATGTCAACATATCCAAAATATTCAGGAAATTGATACTCTTCTTTATGAATTGACAATATTTTGTTATGATAGCGTTTAATAAAATAAAGTAAAACAAATAGAATGTTAATCGACACCTTATATTAATTGATTTGTTCTGAAATTGACGTAGATATAAAAAAAACAAACTCTTGTTGCCCATCTTGCGTGTTTTATCAGATATTACTACAACAAAATAATTGCAGTTCAATCTAACATCCAACTATTGCTAGTAGGTGTCCAATGACAACTGAATGCTGTGTTCATAAAGCATGCTATACCTATAATAAAAAATCCAAATCAAGGTTTATAACAGTTGTTCTACATTAACGATAGATTTATTTACAAGAAATAGCCTTGGTCTATATGTAGCTGTAAGGTATGTCGGATTTAATAAACTACGAGTCATTATGTAAAAAAGAGGTTATTTGTACAGTTTTGTTAATAACTCCGTTATTATCAATCAATTCACAAATTCTCATCATGCGAGATTGCATGTATGCCCGGATGTACCATGAAGTCTTGTGGTTAATGTGACCTGGTATACAGTTAGAACTCCATATGTTGAAACTACTTTTTACTGACGTTTCGGTCACCACGACCTTTTTCATAGTACAGGTCAATGACAATGACAATATATTCTATATATACTCTATGATCAAAAAGTACCAGGAATTTAAGAATAAAACGAAAACGGTTTAACTTTCAGTCAAATTTATTTTATCGCGTTCAAAATAACATCCATTTGAAGCAACACCCATGTACCAGCATTTCACCCACTCGTCCATGCACCGCTGGTAAGTCGCCAAAGGTATGGCCTTTAGCTCTCTCATCGCATTCTGCTTGATATCATCTATGGACTGAAATCTCTTTCCTTGCAGTGGTAATTTGAGCTTTGGGAAGCGAAAACGGTCGCAAGGAGCCATACAGGTAGATAAGCTTGTTCAATGGTATTTACTTGATGTTTGGTCAAATAATCAAGCACAATTCTGGCCCGATAAGACGGCGCGTTATAGTCGTGCAAAATCCACGAATTATCGGCCCACAATTGAGGCCATTTATGACGTACGGCATCGCTCAAACGCTTCAAAACGGACAGTAGCCATCTTTCTTAAGCTGGTATGACGATTTCCGAGCACCACTTCCTTCACTTTTTTGACGTTCTCGTCGGTGTTTAACGTGGATGGGTGGCGGAACGAGGCAAATCCCCTACCATTTTACGACCAGTTTTAAAGTCTTTATACCATTCGTATGCCCGAGTTTTCGACACTGCAGACTCCCCAAATGCTTTTTGCAACATTTTTTTTTTGTATCAATGTTAGCAACACAAAATTTCAGATAAACTCTTTGCTCAACAAAACGATCCATATCAAAACGTGAGAAAATTTTAAAAGTTGACTGACGTAAACAGACACCAGAGAGATACTAATAAGGAACTGGCGCTATAATATTGACACGTATGTCAGTTCAGGTCGTACCATCCTCAAAAAAATAAAAATCACCGGTTTTGTCATGTGCACTTTGCTGAAATTAAAAATTCCCTGTACTTTTTGATCGTAGGGTATATATATACTCGTATATATACCCCTTCCATATGGCAGTTCTCTTGCTTTTTCCGCTACTATACAGTTGCAACAACAGCCTGAACAATCTTGAATCACGCCGAGATCGCGCGAAGGTTAATTTTAAGCTACAGGGGTTACTGGATTCATATAGCTTAGCAGTAGGAGTGAGGCGAAATATTCAGTTTTGCAGTGCAGTGAGCCAACTAAATAAAATTTTAATATTTTATTCTATTCCAGGATGAACCCTCCCACGCCAAACGCCACACCGACCCTCTTACCGCTGAAGAGACCCAACACAAGACGGCCAAAGAAATAGAAACCAACAACATCGACAATGACGACAAACCGGATTCTTCAGAGTCTTCAGACTCCAGCGATTCTGAAGAAGACAAGACTCCCATCCAACTCAAGCTGCCTCTGCAGCTAGACTTGGATGAGCTAACTCAAGCATTCTTGGAGAAAAACCAACGCTCTAAAATGAACTGCATCGTGGAAAAGAAGAAGGCTGAGGAGCTAGTTGATCATCAGCCTAAGACCATCAGGTTGCCATTTGGTGTTAACTTAACCACTGACCCACGGCTGGAGAGACTCAGTGGTGAGAGAATGGTCATCATTTGCGAGAGTGGGACTATGCAAAGGTAAGATTTTTTAAATAAATTCATCTCATAGCCGTGCAATAGATCAAAACGTGCTTTGGGAGAGTACCAAGTCCGTAGAATTGGTACCTTGACATCTACAGATACGTGGCAATGATATGGCAGATTATGAGATATTTGTTTGAAAAAATGTAAATCACCAGTCCTGAAAAATCTTTTTATAATTTTTCCAATCTATATTGCAGAGCTCAGCCCATGCCATCTCAACCACAAGAAGAACAATCCGATTCATCAGATGACCAGGAAGAAGATACAATCATGATCCAGCCTGTGATGATTCCAATCCCAGCTACTTCATACCAAACTCATATGCCCCAGAGGATGGTACCACCACCAATGGTACAAAGAGCACCCATGAGGGGTCCCGTCGTTCATCCTATGGAAGCCATGAGGCCACCCATGCCCCCAGTCATCCAAGCTTCCATCCAGGTTAGTATATGCTCACAAAGTCAAAGGCCAAACAAATATGGTCATTTTGAACCGAATTGAGGATTTACTGATGCGCCGTCGTAGAAACTCCTTGAAATGCCGGCATATCACTTATTAGTATTGGTCTGGGTACTAAAGTGTAATGCGCCTTTTCTGGTAATCCTTAAACATCGTGGGGTCTGTAATTGTGTAGAGCAAAGAGTGCATAAAGATGACAAGATGATATAGAAAGATGCTCTTACCCAGGGAAATTGTTTAATTTATGATAGACAGAAAAGACAAACACCTCGAAGATTTTAATAAACATATTTTATTTCAGATGCAAGAGCAGCCTCAAGCTCAACAACAACCCGAATTCCCACCAAATCCAATCCTCCACCACATCGTTCAACAGATCATTGCCCAGAAGATCATGGAGAGCCAACGTGCCAGAGAAGAGCAAATGAGACAGCAACAGATGCAACAAATGGAGATGCAGAGAGCACAAGAGATTCAGAGAGCCCAGATGATCCACAGACAGATTCAAGAGCAGCAAATGCGCGAACAGGTAAATAAATGCTCCGTTAAAAGACAACTGCGAGAGTTAAAACAGAGCTTTCCTTCTTCCGACCACAGATGGTCAACTATAGGCAGTTCTTCCGTGCTATTTGGCAACGAACGAAAGCTGAGCAAATATCCTCTATCCGTAGTATAATATCTATCAGTATAAGGTCAATTGAAGAAAACAGCTGAGGCCTAGCCTCCATTGATTACCATATTATTTATTTACTCTTCCCATTTCTATTGTTGTATTTTTGAGTAACTAACTGATTATTTAACTATTATTGGCATCGAAATGAGACAGCACAATGCGAACTGGGATACAGTTCCAACAGATAGCTTGCTATTTTGACTCTCGCAGTTCTGGTAAAAGATGGCACTTTACGTCTTATTTCGATAGGCCTTCAAATAAAGAAACGGTGAAGACCCAAATAAATCTCCGTTGTTGCCTTTGAAGGTTTTTCCCTGCAAGAATCTATTGAGCTCCCCGTCGTCTACCCTATTTGGCTTCTATAGTTGCTTTTTCTTGCCAATGGGATTGAAAGATAGCAATCATATCCTATTATGGTGCATGACTGTAGTTTTTGTCACAGGCTCAACAAGAACAGATGGAACAGATGGAACAAGAACAGAGGATTCCTCACAGGTTTGACATTCCACCACAGGCTCAAGTTGTTCAGAGGATACCCATTCCTGAGGAAGTGCTAACCCAGCTTAACAGGTGAGTAGATGACTACGTCTTCAACATATTCAAAATTAACCTTTTAGGCTAATTTTAAGCCCATAAATCCTATGTAACCATTCTGTAAGAAACCTAAAGGTGACGAAATGCCTCCTGTCCTCCTCTCTTTTCCTCCGTTTATTTCCTCTTGTCTTCTTACTTCCTGACATTGTCTGGTATCTGGGTAACCAGGATCAGACTGACTTACTGATCTGAAAGACTAGAATAGAAATAAATATGCTCCTATTAGCTGTAGCTCACATAGATCGCCCGTTACAGTTGGTTCCTTTAGCAATATTCTAAATGATCCTGGAAAGTATAACCTTTTTTAAACGTTTCCTTTTGACTATAACCGCAATTTTTATATCAAAAAATAAAAGATGATATTTAGAAATATGTAACTTTTACCATTGGTAGGTGGCAATCGTTAGCTTTTTCATCTTCTCTTTTAAAACGTTTATGTATTTTGTCAGTTTTTTCGTCAGAAATGATCTTCATAAAGCTGTGACTCGCATAGTCTCAGATAAATTGTAAATTTCGCATCTGTAGACAGATAAATATAATGCTCCACTAATATGAGAAATAACTTTCACTAAACATAAAAGCAATGCAAATGTCATTAGTTGTAGTTGCAGAATTTAATTTAAGTTTTTTCTGTTGTTATCTCTTGAGTTAAACCAACCAGTGGTGAATATGATAATTATTATACAACATTCATTTACTTCAACAGGTGAAAGTTTTGTGGGAAATGTCTCTTGAAGATCTGTAGTGTACAAATATACAATAAAAGTAATGAATAAAAAAGGTTTATTTCCCACACCGCCGTTAAAGTGTAAGGTGGCATTTAACAATATTACAGCGAATCTTACGTCTCGTTGCTTTCACAGGAAGTGTACACTTCTAATAAAGGTGGATGATATTAATGAAGAATTTGGACCAGGTTCTAAAACATCTTGATATAAGAGGTAGATACCTAAGGAGATACTGCTTAGCTAAATCGTACAATGTCGTGTAGAAGAGAGTTTGACATATCTCCTTTACTTCCCACGCAATTGGGGAGGAAGTATTGCAATCGCGGAATGTTTTGAAAATGAGGAATTATGTTTTTTGAATGTTATATGGCGACAATTAAAATATCGCGATTTTTAGCCTTCCAATCAAGATAAAAATTTACTTTAAAATAAACATAACCCAAATCGCTATTTTGAGTTTTGTAAGAGGAAATTTGGACTTTGATTTAGACAACGTCCAAAATAGTAGTTTCTGACCATTGAAAATTACCATTTAGGCAATCGTTCAAACTTCATTGTGTGACGTTTCAGAAGCTTCTAATTATTTTCAGAAAGGTTGAGAGTTGGGGGTTTTAGTATAAATAATGCATTTTTGGTATCAGTGAAGTCCGTTTTATTATTGTTAGATACAATTCTAATATTTCGCATATTTACATCTGTGACTCCAGCAACAGCAACTACCCAGGAACTCGCGATATCCTTTACCTGCCGAGGGTCCGATAATAAATCGACGATGCAATGATACCAACGCGTACGCTCGTTGCTTAAATATTATGCCCCATGTATAGTCAAAGCCCATTAGTACTCTGAATTATCAATTCAATTATGTATATATATTCTAGAATCTCACCAGCTGTAAGGGTTTCAATGCCCAGCGAATAGAACGTACGAAAGGTGACACAAATACTTTACATAATAGTATACTCAAAGACCATAATTTCAATTTTTTGAAGACAATAATATTATTTTTGACTAAAACTATCTCTACCCAGTAGTCTTTTGTCAAGGTACAGGGACTTTCATGGTCGTCAAATAATAAAGAGACCAGACTGTGCAAAAGTGCAGATGTTCATGCTGCACGTCCCAAGTCAATTTGTCCAGAATTGCGTAAGAAGTGCAGAGTTAATCTACATGACTTCACTTTTTGTTTGTAGGCTTCCAAACCGTGACGTCATCGTCGCAGTGTCTTCAGCTGAAGGAAGCAGCTCTGTTGAACAGGAACCTCAACAAACTCAACAACCTCAACAGCAGCAAACTCAGCCTCAGCCTGAACAAGAGACTGTACAACCACCTCAACAGGTAATTTTATTGGAGACATCAATAATTTTAAATCATAACATACCACCTTCAAAATTACTCGTATGTACAGTCATCTTGGTTGTCAACTTAGGAGTGTATGTTATGCAATCCCGTAGTACTTCAAATATAGCTGCGGTATAATGGCTTTCTTAGGTTCAGGAAACCTATATAGTGATCTTACACTTACAAGCTTTAAAGTTTAAAGGATTATATAAAAATTCATTAATCCCTGCAATCATAACCAACATATGTTTTTGTTTATACACTGGCAGTGTCAGTGTCGGAAAAGTATGTACTGTAAAATGGATATCTTCCGTTATCCGTAGTGCTTATGTCTATTTCACTTTTAACTCTCGTGCGCTGTTGACCTGCCTCTTGGGTGTATGGTGCTTTCCATAGTCGAAGCATTTAGGTATCGCATTCACCGTACAATCTTTATGCCAAATGGGTTTAACCAAACCTTAACCGATATCAAAGCAATATTAGTGATGTTCTGGAATCACATTTACAACGGTCACCCGATTGTGAACACCTTCAGCGCGCATGCGTTGTCAATAGATTAGTATCAAACGGTTCTAAGTTTGATTCTGCTAGAACACATTGTTCTGCCAAAATATGCTTAAGTTAACCAGTGATAACGTCGTATTTGACATTTAGGTGAGATTATATGTTTCTTTCCTCATTGTTAGGCAAGTTGGAATAAACAAATAATCGTTATATCAAATCTATCTGCTTCATCACGAAATGATTATGTTCAATGTACTACGAACCACAAAAAGGAAGTTTCCCATTACCTTCAGTCGTCTTTTGGAGAACATACTGGGTTCATATTTAGTTGAGATTCTTCAACCATTTTGCGGGTCACTCTTTGATTTTATCGATTATGAAGCATTATACCCGATCGATATCTGAGATCCAATCGGATTCTGGACTATGAGAATCTGATACTTCTGTGAGTAACACAAACGGGTATATACAATAAAATACTAGTACACACCAAATTTTATAAAAACGGTTATATGGCTTAAATATTTTAAATTGATACGAACTATTCAAAGTTGCAATGAAACTAAGAAAGCTGCAACTCCCCAACACAATTCAAAAACCACAGCCCCAAATCATAAGGCACCCACAGCAAAACAAGATCATTTCTATCTGCGCAAAGATTGGTTTCCTGAAACAGCGGACCGATAATCCCCAGCTAGGTTTTAGCCTTGCTTGAACATGTTTTCTCCCCTGCGCATGCGTAGGTTTCACAATATTGGAAATCTGATTCTACAGCATTACTATTGTTTTATAATTCCGATCGCAGTTAGTAGAAGACGTCAGCCCACCAGAACTGTCTGCATAAAACTGAATACATCCTCTTTATCGCTCTATACATCATCTGGACGCACCTGCTAACTTGAGGAGGTGCGGACTGCGGGAAAAGGTGGGGGCCAGCTATTCGAGTCTCTTCGCTTGTAGCACAATTAAGCTATGTGAATATGTTGCTATGTCCGTATCGGCACAATGCGATTTGTTTTAGATTCGCTAGATTCCATAATATAAAGCTATTAATGCTTTTTACATTATTTCACATTGCTCAAATGTACAATTTATATAGATGCGCTACCTTTCATCATTATTTGGACTTGTACCATACTATACGCGTGTCGATACCATAAAGAAGCATAACAAAATGTAAATAGACACTATAAGACTGTCGTGAACTATACAGGGTGACTTTGAAGTTGAGTCATTAATTTTCAGATAATGATTGTAGAAGGAAGATAAACCAAAATATGTGTGTAAAAATAAAAAAAAAATTAAAAAAAAATTTTACCTTGTTTTATAAAGTATCCTCTCGACAAGTATTTCAGTGCGGACCTGTATTTGATCGTGAGGTCTTGGAGAACCGGCATGCCCTCTCCTGTGATTTCTTAAGTCACCTGATTCACGAGCCCGTTGTACTACATTAACAAAGGCACGAGGGGTTGGTTGCACTCGATTGGGCAACCGATCCGCATAAACATGTGCCATTTTTTATTTCGTTTGAGCCACGCAGCAAACACCACTATTCACTCACGCGTTACCGACTGACACATTGACTGAATAAAAACATCGTGATCAGCGTTTCAAATTCTTTCGCTTTTTTGTTTCCGATGCGATGAACCGATAAGGCGGATTATATACGTTGTTGCCAAACACGAGCACATAATATTATTATTGAGACAGGGCGGTACTCAAACTTCTAAAGGGCTATAAACTCTGTTACTTTAATTTTACCACAAAAATGTTAAAGGAAAAGAACATTTCTTTTGATCAGATCTACTCATTGTTAAAATAAATGACTCAACTTTGAAATCACCCTGTATATATAGTTTCCTTCACTTGTAGGCAGGGAGAAAATGTGGATTTTGCATCTGAAGACCTCGCATACGTAGATTCCTGATACTTTAAAATTAAGCTATTTGGTGATGACTTTACAGGCTCATTCTATAAAATTGTCTTCGCCATTTTAGGGTTACCATGTTCAAGGAAACTTACTTCTGACTGACTGACTTTTACAGTGGCTATTTTTTAAGTAAGAACCGTTTTGTAATGGAGTCAGAGAAACTTTGTTTATGATCGTAAATTGTACGAAAAGCTGAAATATAAACAGTTTTTCGTTTTTTAACATTTAAACACTTATCAATTCGTGGCACCAGCTTTTGGATACTACCGTCAAAGAATGTTGCTGCCTGACCGTTAGACTAGTTAGTAACTCTTTCTTTCAAAATGTCATCATTTATGATATGCTGCATGGTTTATGACCCAATAATTCACAACCCAAGTTGTACAGTTGCGTCTGTGCTATTGCAGCAACGTGAGGCTGAGCGTTGCCATGAAGCAGAATGACGCTGTTAGAGAGCAAGCATCGCTGGCAGTTTTGAATAGCGTGCCTAAGCTCCAATAATGTTTCACAGCACCTTCCAGCATTTATAGCAGGCCTTTAAAAATCGAATTACTAGGCGCACTTCACAATTGGCGAGCTTAATCATTGACATTGCGACAAACAAAGCAGTATAATTACACGTAACCAACACCGACAGACGCGTGAAACGTAATGGTCGCGTAGTGAAAGACTTGCCAAGAGTGTCTGGGGTTGAACGAATACACGTGACAAGTATATGGAGATGGGAGAATCAAGTGTCAGTAGCGACTCTTTCTACATGTCAAACAGTTTCAGGTCCAACAAGAGATCCGCTTTGTCCAGGAGCCTCGCCAGAGCGCTGTCGAGATGAACGGAAGACAAGCCTACGCAAGGGCCATGCCTGTGGATATCCCTGTTGCCATGATGCCCCAAGAGCAGCAGGAACCACAACAAGACCAACAGGAACAGCAGTCTGAGCAGACTGTTGCCATCGTACCTGATTCTGAAGAGGCCAGACCACACTGTTAGTATCACTTCATATTTAGCTTACTTTTTCGATGTCAACCTTGTTTTACAGCTGCTGAACAAAGTACATTCTATTGCCCGCGGCCAGGGTTGCAAAGTTAACATTTTTTTTAAATGTATATAAGAGGGGATAGAGATGGTAATTGCCCCTTCCCCTTCCCAGATTAAGAATAAGAAGAAAGAAAAATAATTAGAAAATGATCTGCAGTTGAATCGGAAATAAATACTGTAGTTATTGGACAAAAATAGCATATAATATATTATATTGAGGACATCGCTATAAGATTTGTCTACCTGTTGCATTATCTCTATGTCAGAGAGAAAAATTTCAAACTTCTCAGCTATTCTTCGTCATATAAAACGTGAGAGCCATTGATTCCATGTGGTCGTTGTCAAAAAAGCTATACCATCTATTTAGAGTTAAGAAGTACTTTTTTACGCATGACCTCCTCACTCTCTATGCCCAGATAAAACCTAGCCTCGAGTTCTGCTCAAGTATTTGGGGTGATGCCGTTCCAACTACATTATCCATGCTCGATGTTGTTCAGAGGGCTATCCGACTAATCCAGGGCTCTTCTCTATCAGGCAGTCTCGAAGCCCTTAGGGCCGTCGCCGATCTGGCTCTCTTCTACCGCTGTGTAAACGGGCTTTGTTCGTAGAGCTCTCCTCCGTGATGCCGCCACGCGATAAGCCTTCTAGAGTGACCCGCCTTACTTCGACCTCCCATGCCAACTTGAACTTCGTGTATCCAGCACCGGCCGGTACTACCGCTCCTATGGCCCTAGAGAGTATAGATTGTGGAACAATCTGCTTGAGCAGGCTTTTTCTAGTTCTACTGACCGCAGGCAGTTCAAAAATCAGATTAACGAGGTGTCTTAATAGTAGCCGTCGTGCCCCGGTATTTAGGCTTCTGCCTACGTGGCCACTTTGTTACAAAAAATGGCTTCGTTCTTCTATGTCGCAAAATCGATTAGTAGGTCTTGCTCCTTTACATATCCACCAGGATATGAGTGTGTACCAAATAATATTTTTTCGAGGCTTTTTCTGTCAGCTTTTGACGTTTATCAAATAAATTTGTGATTGCATCCATTTTCGATAAAGCAGTAACGTTCCTCTCATATCTTTGAATGTTTTATCACAAAATTGACTTCCCCTTTAGGGATGAGACTGAAGGATGACAGCGAGACTCCTGTATTTTTTCTCAATAGCCGTTCATTATTATAATTTGATAATTAAATACGGCAGAGAGGACGGACGTTTTTGGGATGGGTAGTACTCTCCGCCTCCGTCTACGAGAGAGGTGGGGAGGGTGCCGTTTGACTCGTGAGATCCTAGCATTATTTTACCAGTTGTCGTTATGGAGCCTTGGGCGGTGGAGCACCGCGTTTTCGCCTATGATTGTTTCGTCCGAAATAATGAGTCAGTCATCGGAATAGAGCTGTTCTCGCTCGAAACACCATCCTTCGTTAGGTTGAATCACTTCGCAGGCGTGGTGAATTGATCAACAGAAGACCAAGAGGAGAGCCGCGAACAGTTCGAACTCCTGAAAATGTTGAACGCGTTCAACAGGTCTTTCTTCGCAGTCCGACTCGATATGCCTGGAAACATGCTGCTGCACTTCGCCTTAGTGATGGTTCGGTAAGGCGAATTTTGCATATATATCTCCGCGAAATTCGCGTGGAAGTCGCCCAAGTTGAGAGAGCGATGTTGGAGAGAGTCTACGCGAACTTCCAAGAACGCCTCCAGCACTGCATCAACGATCTCGTCAACTTATCTATCAAAAAAATACCTGCTCCTGCTATATACGTAAAGTGTGAGAAACATCGTACCCAATCTTCTGGAGAAGTAGCCATACAAGAGATAACACCAGTAAGTACTTACAGAAACGTTAGCAGCTCTTTCGAGGACGAACCAAGCATTTTCGATCATTTTTCTTTAACCTCTCCCGAAATTGTGTCACAAAAGTCACATTTTTGTCAAGATATATCAACTTTCAACCTAGCCTATACATAGAGTGTTTATCCGATATGACTAGACGAAAAAAGAAGTATGAAGAAGAGCAACAAGAAGATAAAGATGAAAGTTATTTATCCAAGAATAATGCAAATACTACTATAGAGCAAGAAGTACAGTACCTGAAGAAGCTATTAGAAACAAAGAATGAAATAATTTTAGATAAAGAGAGGTATATCAATCAATTAGTTAATGAGAACAAACGTTTACAGGAGCATTATGAATTGATCATTAGCAGTATAGTGGATAAAGAAACCATAATCACTTCTTTGGGGAAAATAAATGAAAGAGTTGAAAAAATAGAAGCTACTACCTCATACACCCGTTGTAATGATGTAATTAAATCATATAGTGGAGCTGTAAAAGAGTCAAAAAAAAGCAGAGATGAGAAGATTGTAGGTAAAATTAATAATACACAAAAGTTGATGATAAAAAGTACGGACAAATCAAACTCTAATGTGTTGGAAGATTTGAAGAAGAGCATTGATCCAGCTAAGTCAAATATCTGTGTGAACTCTGTGAGGAGGGTGAATAATGGCATCATTCTTAGCTGCGAAAATGAAGCATCAATGTCCAAACTGATGGCGAGTATACAGGGAGAACTCGGTGCGAACTTCACTGTCAATGAGATCAAGAAATATCGCCCACGCATGGTGATAAATAATGTAGAATGCGCCTACACAAAATCTGAGGGATTAATCGAGAAGATCTTGTCCCAGAATGAATTTGGTATTTTCAGTAGTGATGATATAAAAACTGTAACCACTTTCAGATGTTCCGAATCTACTTTAAATGTTGTCATTGAGGTTAGCCCAAAATTTAGAAAAACGTTGCTAGATAGAGGTCATATATACATGGGTTGGCAAAGATGTCCTGTGCGGGATTATGTACGAATTATACGCTGCTATAAATGTTCAGGTTTTGGCCACATGGAAAAAAATTGCATACATTCTAAAGTATCATGTCCTTTATGTGCTGGAGATCATTTGGAAAAAAATTGTAAATCTGCTTTTAAGAATTGTTCAAACTGTATGAATCACAATTCTAAATTCAACACTCAATTTGATACTAGTCATTCTTCTAAAGACTTGGATTGTCCAACTTATAAAAAATATGTTACATACTTGAAATCTAGAATTGAATATGAATAGTGATAAATTCAAGGTTTTAAAATTTGGTCATATAAACTGCAGATCAGTTTTATCAGGATTTCATGAATTTAGTACACTGGTTCAAAACAACAACCTTCATATTGTTGGAATATCGGAAACGTGGCTATCAAAAGATATATCTAATGACCATATAAGAATGAATGGATACAACTGCTATCGCTGTGATAGAGATGGGCGAGGTGGTGGGGTTGCAGTCTTTGTAAACAACCACTACAACTCTTCCATCATTTCATTTGGGCAAGACCCAAGTCTTGAATATATATGGTTGAAGGTGCAGCTTCCAAAACAAAAAATTGCTATTGGTATATTCTATCGGCCCCCACATAGCTCTGTTACAGAAGCCGGTAATAACTTTGATAACATGCTGCCTGCCATATTAGCTGAATATGATGATATCATCCTTGCAGGGGATATCAATGTTAATTTGCTTTTAGTTTGTAACAACTTGACTAAATGCCTTGATTCTTATAATCTGAAACAGGTGATATCTGAACCGACTAGAATAACTGAATCGACACTCACTCTCTTAGATCCTATTTATTTGAGCAAGCCTGAAAGTTGTCTTAGGAGTGGCACTATTAATGCTGATATGGTTACTGATCACTATTTAACCTTCTGTGATATACGTATTGCACTTCCTAAAAATCAACAGAAATTTGTTACATTCAGGGATTTCCATAGTTTAAATGAAATAGCGTTTGAACAAGATCTCAAGAGTTTTCCATGGTGGCATATTATATCGATAGATGACATTGAAGATAAAATTAACTTTTTAACAGATAGTATTTTATGCTTATTTAATGTTCACTGTCCAAAAAAGGTAGTGCGTGTAAACAAAGCTCCAGCTCCTTGGTTGGATGATAATATTAAACTTGTATTCAGGCAGAGGGCTGAAGCTTTGTCAAAGTTCAAACGTGATCGTACAGCCGCCTCTTGGCAACAGTATACATATTTCAGAAATCGTGCATTAACGCTCGTGCGAAGAGGAAAAAGAGATTATTTACAAGCTGTTCAAAATCAGGATATAAAAAAGTTTTATAAGACCCTAAAGACTTTCAAAGTACAATCTCAGAAAGATTCTGCAATTCCCGTGAGCTTGTCCGATCCGTATAAAATAAATGAGGCATTCATTTCAATTTTCGAGAATAGTGATTTGGCTTGTGCTGATAAAATTGCATATTACCGAGCTAATAAAAATAACTCAAAATTCAAATTTCAATTTAATAAAGTGACTATTGACACCGTTGTTAAAATTATACATAAAGTAAAATCAAATTCTAGTGGTACAGATGAAATAACTTTGCATATGATACTACTATGTATACCTGAAATTGATGTCTACTTAACGCATATTATAAACTGCTGTTTAGAGAGGGGATATTTCCCCAATCAGTGGAAACGCGCTATAGTTATTCCGCTACCTAAGTGTTCTGATCCTACTAACTATGGTCAACTGAGACCGATCAGTCTACTGCCAATTTTCTCTAAAGTATTGGAACGCGTTGTTTACGAGCAGCTGTGCGCCTACTTATATTCTAACAAAATTATTCCATCTAAACAATCTGGATTTCGACAAGGTCATAATACAGCTTCGGCACTCTGTGATTTAACAGACAATATAACAATGGCACTTGATAACCAAAAAGCAGTAGCTCTCATACTTCTTGGCTTTACTAAAGCATTTGACACCATTAATCACTCGCTTCTTGTATCTAAATGCAGTTACTATGGATTTTCTGAAAAACCTCTTTCGTTTATTCAAACCTACCTTGAAAATCGGTATCAAAAAGTTCGTCTAAATCAGCAGTACTCTACGGAACAAAAAATTTGTTCTGGTATACCACAGGGATCAGTCTTAGGACCACTATTATTTTCATTATATATCTCAGATTTAGAAACAGAGGTAAAATCATGCAGCATACAATTTTTTGCAGATGATACTCAAATTTTCTATTCATTTAGGAGTAATGACTTAGAAACCGTAAATAATAAAATTAATCAAGATCTTGCCCAAATTGAAAAGTTCAGTAGTAGTCATAATCTTCGTTTGAACCCTTTGAAGACAAATATGTTGGTATACGCAAATAGAACAAAAAAGAATACCTTAAAAAAGGACATAGACATACATTTAAAAGGTAATAAATTAATTCCTGTGGATCATTCGAAAAACCTAGGTATTATAATGGATGATGACTTAAAATTTGTTGCACACGTGAACTATCTAATTACGCAGTGCTACGCTATTCTCAGAGTTTTATTTGCAAATAAGGCTATATTACATAAATCTGCGAGAAAGCAATTGTGTGAATATTTCGTATTTTCAAAGATATCGTATTGCTTAGTGGTTTACTATCCCTATTTAGATATTATAACAAGAAATCGTATTCAAAGTATTATGAATACATGTTGCAGGCTTGTAAATGATCTCAGAAAATACGATCATATATCGAATGCCATTAATGAACTCAAATGGATGAAAATTGATAAAATGTATAAGTACCAGCTCCTAAATCTGACTCATAAGGTTCTTTATTCAAAAACACCGTCATATTTAGAAAAAAAATTCATACGTAGAGGGAATATGCATCGTATTAATATTAGATATAGAGAGACTTTTTCAATTCCACGCCACAGCACGTCTCTATTTCAGAATTCATACATTTACAATGCGATCAAATCATATAATTCTTTAGACCGCAGTTTAAAAGAAACCAATCCATTATCCAAATTCAAAAAAAAAGTGAAAGAAGTTCTTCTTGATCAGCAGCGAAATCGGTTGTAACCCATAAGTGTCCTCATATTTTCCTTATGTATTTACTTGGATTATTCGTTATTGTATACAGGTGCCTATTAATTTTCAATAAATTCTTTTTTTTTTTTTTTTTTTTTTTACATCTCGAATTGTTAAGGGGGTTAGATGGTAGAATAGATATATAATCTAAATCTCGCCTCCTGTAAGAATATTACAAATAAAAGACGTTAATTATTATTATTATTATTATTATTATTTCGGCCACCACATGCCTGATGTGATTTTCCACACTTGACTGTCTCAAATGCTATTTCCTTCTGAACCTAATTCCATCAATAAATTTGTTTTCGAGTAAAAATTAACTATTTTATGATTTTTTTAAAACAGTCCATCCTCTCTGCCGCACCCTGTATAATATTGAACGGCTTTATTGGCGGAGTTTAGCAAAGCTCTTCTCACACTCAACCATGCTAAAAATAAAGCTTAATACTAATTTGACATAGAAATATTATATTTTTAGGTAAACAGTCCATTGCATTTACCAAGAGAGTTTCCGATCAACACTAACGAATGCAGCTCCTCCAAAAGTAGTAGTACAAGTTAGTAACTGTGAGTGAGACATTGCCAGAATTGGCATCTATGACACCTCTGACGTTTTGTGTAAATCTTGATGAATAGTTGACGAATACATGTTTCATTTGATTAATATATTTTCAGACGTCCATCCCAGATCTGTCTAAGAAGCCTAAAATCTGAGCCGTCGACAGGCTCTGTTAAGCTGCTTTCTTCCACCAAGCGGCGCACCACTACTATAGCACACCACCAACATCAATACGTACATGTGGGGATAACTTTTATTCTTTCCATTTTTATGTTTTATTAATGTAAATAAATACTGGTATGTGTTGAAATTCAGAAACTTTCTGTTGTAAATCTTAATATACATACATATTAAAATAATTTAGGAGTTTAGTTTGTAACTGACGTGTAAATAGCTGTTAAAAAGAAATCATGTCTTTTGTGTCTTTTTTCCGGCTTTTTGTGATTCAGATTGTATAAAATCCTGAAAATAAACAAAATTTATTTTTTGTACACTTTTCAATTGTATCTAAGAATCTCACCTGTACCATAATAAACGAATGGATTAATTCTCCCCAGACATATCCACATTCCGAATTTTTGGCACTAGTAAGTTAATTCCGTAAAAACACTTGCATAATAAGGAAGATTCCTTACACGCACACAGGTGTATCTTACGACAACAGTTCTGGGTGGGTTTTCGCGTTTTTGGAGGGCAATTGGATTTTTCGGACGAAGGGCGAAGGTGACGTATCCGGTACATTGAAAAAACGACACATAGCTTCATGCTCGCTATGCAATGCTGATTTTGCGTGGTGCAACCTTAAAACGATGGCTTCGCTCAATCTCAGCATACGAGAGTCCTGTCGCATATGAGTTGGACCAAAGAAATTTACTTATGGAATGTTGTTTTTGTGTGTATTAACAACTAATCTAAATATTTGATATATATTTAAATTACAATAATAAACTAAAACAAAAAATTGTTTATGATGTCCGTCGCATATTAGTTAGACCATCTCATGCAATACGATAAAGAAATTGAATAGTATAATGTTTGCCTCGGGATGTCAATTTGTAAAAATCGCTCATGGAAAAGCGTTGTCCGACGATATGCGAAATTCCATTGTCGATGCACACAAAAATGGAGCATCTGGGCATAAAATTGCAAAAAATCTGAGCATTTCTCAAGGAATTATCTCACTGTATAAACAAAATGAAAATATTGAGACAAAAAATAGAAATGGCCGTCGTTCAAAGATTACAGAAAGAGATTAGCGTGCTCTTCGTGCAATTATTGAAGAAGATCGCAGAGCTGCGTCAACGGAAATAGCTGTAAGATGATCACATGCGATTGGTAAAAGAGTTTCAAAGGATACTTGATTAAGAACGATGAAAAAAATGGGATATTCATTCTACAAAGTAAGTTGTGACTGTTGTGAGTATCAAAGACTGCTCAAGCTTATTTAATTTTGATTTTAGGCGAAGGTCAAGCCACTTCTTTCTTTAAAACAAAAACGAAACCGACATTTATGAGCAAGAGAGTATACAAACTGGGTACAACATCAATGGGATTCAGTTATCTGGAGTAACGAATCCAAGTTTGAAGTATATGTTGGCGATTCACATAGCAGGATTATCCGCATGCGAGGAAAAGAATATCACACCGACTGTCTCAAGAAAAAGGTTAAATTTCCAGCATCTGTAATGGTATGGGGATGCATGTCTTCACAAGGAGTGGGACGTCTTCTTTTCATTGATGGCACTGTTAATGCTGCTAAATATCAAATTATTTTACAAGAAGAATTGCTGCCATCCATTCACATGATTCAACTACGAGAAGGTGGGTTCATATTTCAGCAGGATGGTGCAGAATGGCCTTCAAGTAGCTCCGACTTATCTCCAATTAAGACCCTATGGCACCGAATGAAAAAAGCACTTCGAACTTATCCAGTCCGCACCATTTCCGAATTAAAGCCGAAACTTTAGTAAATTTGGGATAGTTTTGAACCACAATACTGCAAAACATTGGTAGACACTATGCCAAGAAGAATCGATGCTGTATTAAAACGAAAAGGTGACTGCACTCAGTGGTAACTTTCCAAAAACGTTTAATCCATCTAATATGCGCCAGACATTATAAACATTTTTTTGTATTGTTTATTATTTTAGTTTAAAGATATAACAAATGCTGTTGATTAATTGTTGATTATACTCGTATATAGATTCACATTATCTAAGTTGTTTTTGTTCAAGTTATTTTGAATAAATAAAAATTAGTTCACAAATACAACATTCTATAAATATTTTTCGTTGGTCCAACTTATCTGCGACTGGGCTCGTATTAGGACTTTTCATACTATTGTAGTATCACATTGTATAGGTATGTGAAAATTAAATAAAAAGATAAACGAAGTGTCACCTGGGAGATAGATAACTAAAATATTGTCAAAAACGTGTCAATGTACTGAAGAAGGTTATCGTTGTGATTGAAACGTGTACAATAAAGAAGAATTTGTACATGTGGTTTGATTGGTCATACAAACATAGCGGATTACGGCCATATAATTTTATTCTTTCAGAAATATTTAAGACCCATTTTCATGCAGTGCAATAGAAAGAGGGAAAATTGTGTATAAATAACAGTCATGCCCAATGGCTTTTGTCCTTGCGAGTTAATTGTTTAAACTCATTTTTTTCATTATAAAAACAGGGACTAACTTTATGAAGGAAATAAAGATCCGACGTACTCTTTTCACCACTGTCATATTCAAGATTATCTCAATATATTTGCCAGACTGCAGTAACTGAAAATATTGAATCTTCAAATGTGCCATGTAGTCCGTGGAATAGAAATTTCAAAGTTGAAGTTCGATATCCGCTATCTAGATTTTAAGAAAATCTTATACAGGGTGGCGCATCGACAACGAAACAGACGCATTTACTGGCAGCTCTTTTTTTTTGGAAAAACGCTCAGACCCGTCGACTTTGTTTTCGAGGGGGACACAGATTTGGCAAAAAATCACGTTAACACGTAAAGCCACCAACCCTAAAATCTTAAATGGAAATGGGGTCCGAGTGATACATTATTTTAAAGGTCTTTCAATTCCCTTTATAATGATATAAAATTAATGTACTTCAGTTCAGTAGTTTTGAAGATTGATTGATTTAAAAATTAAAGTAGGCTTTAATAGGCACATCAGATTAGTTTTTACTACTTTCAGAAGAAATTTGACCAAAAGAACTTACTTAATAAGTAAATGCTTTTCTTTACTACGCCCATGGTTTGGTTATCATTTTGTTGTTGAAAATAGCTATTGGAGCGTTTTTTGTGGCAAAAAAGTTATTTCTTGAAGAAAGATAAGGAAATATCTCGTACTTATTTTAAATAGGAATTTAGTACATAGTTTGCGATTGATTTGACCAAACTTTGTTGCTAAAATAACTTGTAACGCTTTATTACATAAATTAACCATGGTATATTCCACAGCAGAAAGAGTTGAAATTATCGAAATATTTTTCGGAAATAATCAGTGCGCTAATAGAACAGCAGAAATATTTAATGAGCTACAGGAGAACAGTAACGTGCATCGAAAATATGTTCTAGAACTTGTAGCTAAATTTTGGGAAACTGGGTCAGTCACCAATAAAAAACGCAACATTGAAATTCCCATAAGGAATGAAGCAATAGAAGTGGGGGTTTTAGGGCAAGTTTATGTTAGTCGACGTCGACGTACTGTCCAACGGATTCTAAAGAACTTAATGAAGACGATTTTGATAGGCGATTACAATTTTGTGAAGATATAAGTGAACGAATTATAAACGATGAACATTTTCTATTCAACACTTGCGTTTCCGACGAATGTTTCTTTTTTTAAATGGCGTAGTAAATCGTCATAACTGCCGATATTGGTCCGATTCTAATCCCACAATTTATCATGAGGTTCATACACAGCAGCCGCAAAAATTAAATGTTTGGGCTGGTATTTTTGGCAATCATTTAGTTGGTCCTTTTTTCTTACCTGGAAATTTGACCGATGAAATGTATTTGGAATTACTGGAAGACGCCATAGATCCTGCATTAACAGCCATAATTGAAAATCAGAATGATCGGCGGTACATTGCGAATAGGATGATGTTCCAACAGGATGGTGCCCCCCACATTACGCATTACGTGTTCGACAATATTTAGATCAGACGTTTCCAGATCGAAGGATTGGTAGAAGAGATGCTACTGAATGGCCCCCAAGATCACCAGATTTATCACCTTTGGATTTCTTTATATGGGGTCATTTAAAAAGCAAAATATATGCTACTCAGCCAACATCATTAGAAGACCTGCGACAAAGAATTGTGAATGAGTGCCTTCAAATTACTCCTCAAATATTGCAAAATGTGCGGCAACGTTTTGAGCAAAATCTTTATTATTGCATGGAGAGTCATGGTGGCCATTTTCAACATTTACTTGCCTAACGGGTCAGTTCATTCTTCATTTTTAAATTACTTTGCTGCCAAATGTATTGATCTCCACTAATGATGATGTATTAGTTTTATTTAAGCTTTAAATCAATAAATCTTCAAAACTACTGAACATTAATTTTATATCATTATAAAGGGAATTGAAAGACCTTTAAAGTAAGGTATCACTCGACCCAACTTTCCATTTAAGATTTTCGGCGTGGTGTCACCCCCGCTTAGGGGGCTGCACGTACTAACGTGATTTTTTGCCAAACTTGTGTCCTCCTCGAAAACAAAATCGACGGGTTTGACTGTTTTTCAAAAAAAAAAACTGAGCTGCCAGTAAATGCATCTGTTTCGTTTTCGATGCGCCACCCTGTATTACCAGTGTCACTCAGGCTCTCAAGACAAATCTGGAGACACGTTCTATGTCAAAATCTGTTACATCGTTCAAGCTGTAGCCCGTGAAATAGAAATTTCAAACTTGAAATTTTCGATTAAAATCCGCCATTTTGATTGTATAAAATTTTGATGTAGCCAATGTCACTCACACTATTAAAATGAATCCTACATCTCATAAGCCCGTACAATTGATTTTTTTGGATCCATAGGCAGAGACCCACTCGCGAAAAACATAACCCTCCTTCTGAGGCAGTCGGATGCATCACTTTTCTAATCTGTATTTATGTGGAAAAATAAAATGCAACAATTATCCATACATCAATACGTCTCTCTTCTTGTCTATCCTAGCTGCACGACTTCAAATATGCGATTAAATCCTGCCTTTCGTTCGTTTTCTTCAAACCAGGGAATATCATCTTCGTTCCTGGTATGTACTTCTTAGGATCAGTCAGGTATTCATCCAACGTACTCTCACTCCATATCACGCCTTTGTTTTTGTTAGCATCCGTGTAGGAGAACCCTTAATACAATAAATGTACGTTTAAAAGTGCCTTTAAGGGAAAAGTTTGGGGGTAAAGGGCCCCGTACACAACATATGGAAAATGGGTCGCACTCGATTTATCTAAAAATTGGATATGATTTATGAACAAAAGTTGTCATATGATCAAAGCAATTACATGATAAGTTTCAGAGAAATAGGTGGTGAAGATTGACTAATTTGTAAAAATGGTGAACGTGCTAATTGACGTTCTCAGCACAAGAACTCTGAAAATTTGTATGATGAAAGAAAGTTTTTCATCAAGATACCTTGTAGGAAGGGGTTGGGAGATATCATGTTGATCCTTACAACGTCAATTTAACTGCTAGTTTATTTTTATACGTTGGTGCTAAAATGGAGCTTTATGGTATTGCAATTTATTGACTCTTCATTTCAGTTTTCTTGTTTTGGTCTGCTTCATGTCACATCAAATGGTTTGGGTATACTCTTTCGAAGGAAAATAAAGCCCAATCTCACAGAGAGGCACATATGCCATTTCTCGATATTTTTATAAGTTTGTCGATAGGATATCCATAGTCGATATTGGGTTTCTGAAATGTGAGTGTATCCCTTGTGTGAATACCTTCGCCTTCATCCAGTGTTTTTTTGTAGATCGGACAACATGCATCCCCTATTTCTTAAATACTAACCATATGGCTGCTTTGCCGGAACCTGGAATTGTTTATGATACTTTTTATAATAATTGAAATTCTTGCGAACATCTCTAATCTCGATGGCGGGAGACTGCCGTACCAATTGGGCTTCGGATTCGGTTTCAGAATTCATTAATATATTCTCCTGAATATAGCCAACCTAATGCTATATACGCGCGTCCAAAACGTTATAAAACGAGATACCGTAGCGATATCTACGAGAATTTGTCACAGCTGTTTCTCTGTTAGCTATATATACTTTTAAAAGGTTAGTGTATCATAGGTGGCGCTGCCTATATGCTCGTATATTCTAAGAATTGGGTGTCGCATACGAAAATAGGATGGAAAGCTCTCAGCCTGACAATACAGAATTAGTTTAAAAATGATTTCATTTTTTCCATAATCACCTCAACTTCAACTTACTTGGTCTAACATTTCTCCAACATTAGAATTCCTGCATATCAGTGGAAGTCTGGAAAGCTGTCAAAATATTCATCCACAGCCATCTTAGCCCTTTCATCGGACCCAAAGCGTTTTTCAGAAAGAAATTTTGTCAAATCTGGGAACACGTGGAAGTTGGAGGACGCCACATTGAGAAAATAGGGAGGATAGTCGAGCAAATCATACCTCAAATATCTCAGTTTTCTCATTGGAAAAATAATATTCTTCTTCTTCAATTTAGCCATCTTCTCACGAATTTTGGCATCCAGTTCGTCAAGAAGGTTGAAACAGTATTCGCCTGTAGTCGATGTTCTCTTTTCAAGGCAATCAATTAATGGAATCCCTTCCACATCCCAAAGCACCGGCAGCCCCTTTCACGCAAGTGCAATCGAGTTTCTTTCTTTGGCGCAGATCCACCGGATTTCACCAACTGTTTCGACTGCTGTTTTGTTTTTGGGTTTTAGTGATAGACTCACTTCTTATCCATAGTAACTAATCGCAGCATGAAATCGGTCAGATTAGTATTGAATTGGTGCAAGCATTGCTGCGGAAGCTGTTTAGGCACCCACTTTTGATCGACATTCGGCAAATGCGCCACCCACCCTGCATAGAACCTTCTCATCCTCAGTTCTTTGTGCAAGATTGTGTGCACCCTTCCGATATCCCCACGGCCTGAACTCACATGATTATCGGTGTAGTTCTTCACTCCGGATGAATTGCTATCCAACACAAAGGCTAATGACAGCACTATTCAAGTTTAAGTCTATCCATTTTAATAAATGCCACGCAAGACGTCCAATTTCGAAAGTCGTATAGGCAAAGTACTGGAGAGGGGTTCAAACTTATACGACTGCTAGTGGCGTATTCTTTTTTGTGACAGACTCGCAGAAATACAAGTGACATAAAAACTATACCCCCAAGTGGATGTTTTGGTAGACGGAAGTCGTATGCCATGGAAAAGTTCTGCCAAGTACCTCGAGGTCCCTCTTGATAAATGCTTAATCTGGCATAAACATACAGCAGCGTTCAAAACAAAGTTTCAAATTATGTTTCGGCAACTATACCCCTTGTTCTGTAGATCCGCCAAATTAAGTTTGATAAGCAAAGTTCGAATATACAAAATGTTTAGTGATTCATATAGATATAGAAAGTCCGCAAGTATTGCAGACGAGGACTTCACTAACAATTTGCAATATCGCTAGGTATGTCTGAAATAAGACTACACAGAGACCTCGACATTCCTTACGTGAGGGATATAAATATATTTTTAGTGCCCAAGTCAAAAGCCTAGGTGTTTCATCTCAAACTGAAACACTTAACTGTTCTTTGTTTTCCTTCTTTTTTTACATTATTTTCTTTTTCCTTGACATTGTATAGCTTCTGGAAAACCAAGACAAATTCAACTAACGTGCACTAGACTGTGACTAATGGACAAAGATCCTACAGACACCCCCAGAGAGAGAAATGACGAATAGTATGAAAATTATCAAAAAGACAACTTGGAAACCAACGTTGTTTGAACGCCTTGAAAGATTCCATCTACAACCACAGGATCTTCAAGCTCGCCGAAGACAGCATAAATGTAAGAGGAACCTGCGCCTTGATCGGTTGTCGCTTCCATTTTCTTTCTAATTCTATTTCTTATCGCTACGCCCCCTCTCTACAAGGGTTTTACTTCAATCCACATACCTCTCCCATCCATCTATTTTTCACCAATTGAGCCTCCAGCATCTCGATTGACGAACTCGTGCTTAGTACACAACTTATAAAATTATTAATTTTAGCCGATTGGAACGTCATGTCTGTGCCAGGCCGAGAACGTTTCACATATAAGCATGGTTGGATCCAATTACCCATTTTGACCCTTACCTTCAGCCGAGCCGCTCCTCCTCCCTATGATGCCGTGCAAGTTGGGCCCTTGCTTGTGCTTCCCGCCCTTTTCGCATGTGTGACACTGGGCGCAAGATCTGGCGAAGATCTTCTTACCTTTCTCGGCGTCTCCCATGACGTACGGAAATGTTGACCACAGAAATGTTGACGACGGAGAATTTGACAAATTGGGGGCCGAATGTGCTGTACGTCAAAATGACATCTGGGTGATGGCCGCGGCTAGATTAGTCGGGTCAAATTAGTTGCTTTTTTTCGTAAAACAACGGGTGCGTTTGTAACTCAACTGAGCCACTTTCCGTTGTCTCATTTGTGTAACTCGGAGTTACTCGGGACTGCCAACACCTGACAATACCGCTCCACTGCTCTAGAGTATCATGCACCTGAGCTACGTATTTTTGAAATCCACTGCCTCCTCATACACTAGCTTTTTATTCGGTGTTATACGCCCCAAAATATTAAGATTAATATAAGATTGTTAATTTATGGATATCTGCCGTTTTTGTTTTTTTGCATCAAACTGACATTAAACCGATACCAGACAATGGAGGATGGTGAAAAACTGACAAAGTATGACCTAGAGTCAGAACATACATTTAAGGTGTTCCTGAATAATGAAGATCACAATAGATCGCAAGAAGGCAAGTTCATAGCGGCTTCATAACTAGACACATTGAAAATAATTTTGATTATCTACACTAAAATATGGACTCGACTCAGAAGCTTTACAATAAATTCACTGGCCTCTGACCTATTCCGCCATCATCCTAAGACCATCATCAAGCATCAATTGGATAGTCTGATAATACTTCTGAAAATAAAGGCAAAATGTGTTTCACATTTTCGTTGTTAGAACTTTGTGTGACAAACTCCATCCTCGTCACGTAGAAGCTAGACACGTAATGATTTGATAGTTTGGAGTTCGAATCAACATCACAAAAAAATAAACATTTTCTGGCCATGTGATCACAAACTACTGTCAACGTCAAAGCAAAACAGAAGACAGGAGAGGTTTCCATCGTTGCATTCCCATGCATATTTGCTAGGGCAGTTGGGGAACGTCACACTCCGGGTGCATACAAGTCTCGATTCAAAAGCTCTGGAAAGCGGCCCTGGTAATGTAACACCACACACAGCATGGCATCCAAACCGATAACCGTCTATTCACCGATTATTGCGACAAATATCGAAAGAGAAAACGATTAATATCTATAATACGATAAAAAATCATATAAGAATTTTTCACAATGACAACTGTCATGTATCTGAATTTAGAAATTACCGAACGAGACAACACACCACGCCCCGCACTCTCTATTTTTCCGCTGTCGTTTGTTCACTGCAATGTGCGTGCAACATCGCTCGTCACTGTACCTGGTCTCTGGTTCTTTAAAGAATGGTGTAGGGATACGCAACTTACAATAAAGTATCACCGTTGAAATTTATAATTATTAACTGTATGTCTTAAAAGGTTGCCGTTATCCTATCTACCAAGTCAGAAGTAACTGAACTGGACTTCCAAAATACAGAATAGAGACAATGTCAATTGCAAAGTGGAATGATAAAAATTAGAAGCTCGGGGCGAATTGAAGACAAAGGAAGTTATGGAGTTCATAGTTGCTGTATAAAATAGGATCAGGATTACTGATGAGGTGAATGGTATTTTCAATTTTTAAAGCTCTTGAAAAATGTATCAACCACAAATGCACAAAATATAAACGTTCGTATGTTACTTGATTTTGATTTGTTGGTAATGACTGGCATCTACAAAAGACCATTTTGAGAATCGTCAATAGTAAAGTCGTTAGAGAATTGATTAACCCTTCAGTTTGTTTGCGAAATTAGAGTTGAAATGATAGACGGCACAACATAGTTGAAGTCTGTTTTAGGTTATGCATAGAACCCTGTTCCCTATACTATACGTAGAAAACAGTTGAAAAAACGATCACTTTTTTATCGATTATCGGAAGTAATGGAATGTATATTCAGAAATTTTACTCTGGAATACTGTGAAATTTTATTTTTCGATAGCCTAAATTAGTACAGAATCATGTAATGATACTTGGTGACAGCCCGTCAATTTCTCGACACGTTTACTGCAACCATTTTTTATTATAAGAAACGCTATGTATACGAGGTATCCCATGTATC